CAACTGGAAACGTCGCCACGCAGCGAAAACAACTTTGGCGCAGCGTCTACCAGCAGACGTGGAGGAGAAGATCGTCGAATTCCATCGGTTTGTGTTGAGGGCCCAGAGACGTCATGACTACCAGTTAAGCCACATCTTAAACATGGACGAAACTCCCATGCGATTTGAGCTGCCAGCCACAAGAACCCTCGAATTCACGGGCAACCGAACAGTGCCGATCTTGTTAGCGATCTTGTCATGCGTGGAGACAAGCAGAGTTTCACAGTTGTCCTAGCAGTTAAAGCCAACGGAGAAAAACTACCGCCGAAAGTCATTTTCAAAGGCGTTCGTCAGCTGCGAATCCAGATACCACCAAGAATGCAGGTCTCGGTACACAAGAAAGGCTGGATGGATCATAGGAGGACCAAGCTCACGTCTCAAGAAAAAGCCAACGATTAATTCATGAACCCGTCACGCGTTGTGTGCATACTTACATGTACTTACTTAAACAACGTCGAGAGACGATGACGACGATATGATGGAAGCAACCAGCGAATAGGGAAGACTTTCTTTTTTATACTACATTGGATACATCTACTTTCCTCAGCATGAGCGTTACATTATTTCTGGACCCTCCTTTAAATTTCTTCAAGAGTGAGGGCATAAGTGGCAAGATCGGGGAAATGGCATATTTTATGCAGAATATGATACTTCCGGAATGACGTCATGAAACTAATTTCAATCCACACTCGTTCCTAACCTTCAGCATTTGTTATCTTAAGGAGGCCTGCAGAGCAAAACACTACTAAACTAATTAAATGCAGCACTTCGGGAATTACAACATGGGGAAGGTTGGGAACGGGAGTGGGTTGAAATTTATTCGATGACGTCGTTCCACAGGTTTCATATTCCGCATAAATTATACCTTCCATAAATTATATTCCTTCTAAGTCTTGCATGACAACTGATGCTATTCCACCCCATTCCCACGGTTGCACGTGCGGCGGGATTTGGTCATCAAGGCTACAAATGAGATCGATTATTTTATCATTTTCAGTTCGTACCAGCGTTTTTCCTGGTATACTTCGTCTAAAACAACGGTCTGAATGGCGTGCGTGAATTGATGAAGTCTTTGGGAAGCACATGGGAAGCACATGTATAATAACTGATGTATTGTGGAAACTGAAGGACAACACAACCGTGACCGTGACTCCTTTAATTGTAACGCAATGTAAACGTCCTTCATAGTTGCAGTTTGAAGGCTGCCAGCAAATGCGCCCCGAAAAATGTCAATATCACGTTTGATCCAGACTACAACCCGCTTGAATCTATTGCAAAGAAAACTTTCCCGTCAGAATCTGTGGAACTCGTTGCAGAATGCAGCGAGAACTTCATGCTCATGTTTACATGGTCTTCCAATCCGCCATTTTCATAGCTCACGACAGAGGCAAAGAGAACTCCGTGAGTACGATGAGGTGTTCAAAAAGTCCATAGAAGAACCAGAAGAATTTTGGGCAGAGTTGGCAGAAGAAATAAATTGGTATAAGCCATTTACGAAAGTTCTGGACAATAGCAACCAGCCTTTTACAAAATGGTTCGTGATTCTTGTTCAAAAATATATTCGTGTCATGAAATTTTACTCCAACTGGGTGAGCTGAAATCAAATGGATATTGTAAATCGATTAGATGAGAAGAGAATGATCAGAATCTGAAAAACAAAAACGTGTTGCTCTGATTATTTCTCACAGAACTGGCAGAAAGCATGGCATCTTGACTTTCTTTAGTCTTGTATTTAATTATCCCTAGTGTTATTATCATGATGGTAACAAGAACGATGAGCTTAAGCTGGCTTAATTGAACTCTAATTTTCTTTGCAGGTTTGTTGGTGGTGAGATGAACACTTGTTATAACTGCCTTGATCGACATATTGAAAATGGAAGAGGGAAACGAATAGCTTTGATTTATGACAGTCCATTGAATGGCAAAGTAGAAATGTATACATACGAAAACTTACAACGTTTGGTAAGCATACGACTTCGTGTTATGCTTAGGTTATTTTCTTCCCTAAATTGAGATGAGCCTATTTAGTTTTTAATGGGTACAATTACAGTTAATGATTTATTGCTAACTTTGCTTGTGTCTTGATTCGGAATTTTGTTGTCATGTATGAAACGGCTTTCTGTCTATTAATGAAATCCAGGTTTGTTTCTAGGTTGCAAAGTTTGCTGGCGCTCTGGCACAGTTAAATGTCGGCAAAGGAGATCGAGTTGTTATTTATATGCCAATGATTCCACAGGTAACTTTAATCACAATGAACACAGTCATCCAACATAGCTGAAAGAGACTCAGCATTGCCCCTGATTAACTGTTTCTATTTAACCCTTTAATTCCCATGAGTGACTAAGACAGAATTTCTCATTACAATATCAATACAATATCATCCAGATAAGTGATGAGAATGAAGAAAAATATCAATTTGGGAATAAGTAGTTGATCCAATACTAAATTCTCTGAACTAACACTATAAGAATTGTATGATTGACAGTAGAGAATTACAAATTTGGTCTGGGAGTTAAAGGGTTAAGGCTACAATATTGTGGAAGACATAGAAGCCTGATGATTAGTGCACTGAACTTTGCGTAAAGAGGTCTGGGTTTGAGGCTTCCAGCCAGGTTATTGTGTTGTGTTCTTGGGTAAAACTGTTAACTTTCACAGTGTCTCTCTTGTTATCCAAGAGCATAAATGGGTACTGGCAAAATGTCAGGGAAGCCATGATGAAATGCTGGGGTCTTGTATCTGATCCATGGGGGAGTGGTTATGCTCTTAGCTACTTGGCTAGAGTACAGTCTTAAACTGAAGCTGTTACATTCTTGCTCTTAATGTACCTTGATTTCCTTTCATTTTGCCTAATTAAATAAGAGAGTAGCTTCTGCTTCTCAAAGGAAAATTGTTCGCACTAGTATGATACTAAATTCAGAATTTTTGTTCCAGGCTGTGATAGCCATGTTGGCTTGTGCTCGACTTGGTGCTATTCACTCTGTTGTATTTGGAGGTTTTGCTGCACAGGAGTTGGCAAGGAGAATTGAACATGCTGAAGTAAGCAAATTCATACATTTTATATACTTGTTACCTGAGAAACTTGTATCACTGTTACAGATTTGTACAATAAAATTGTTTGATTTTTTTTTCTTAGCCACGGGTTGTGGTGACAGCGTCTTGTGGTCTTGAGCCATCTCGTTTGGTCTATTATAAACCACTGTTGGATGAGGCTATCAGGTTGTCAAAATTCAAGCCTTCAACATGTGTTGTGTACCAAAGAGACCAGGTAAATGTCTCTTACATCAACAATAATTGTTAATGATAATTTTTTTGACTGAAGAAATCCACTATATCTTGTGGTTAGCGGTACAATTACTCTGAGAGTCCACTTTTCCATTATTAAGACATTCAAAAGATAACTTGTGTAAGCACTATTAAGCTTATAGTAATGTTATCAAATAAAGTTATCATTTACTTTCCTTTTATGTAGTGTTCAGGGGGGATTATTCCAGGGCAGGATATCAGTTGGGATCAACTGATGGAGAAAGCACAGCCCCATGACTGTGTACCTGTGCTGTCAACTGATCCTTTGTATATTCTCTATACATCTGGTACCACAGGTGACCCAAAGGTAATAAGCTCTCTAAAAATGATGTTAGGCATAGGGTGATACATTCATGATGTCTCTCAAAATGTTAATTTCATATACCAAAATTGATAAAACTAGAAAATTAATCACTACTTGGTACATTGATTAAATTTTGTCATTGTTAGATAAAAACTATGTAATGTTGAAATACACAGGGTATTGTTCGACCAAATGGAGGACATGCTGTAGCTCTTAATTGGAGCATGAGAAATTTGTATGGGATTAATCCTGGAGAGGTTAGTAAGCATGGCTGTAATGATAACTGTTAGTTGCAATTTTCATTTATTTTGTATCAAAACTAATTAGGGATTGCAATAGTTTTACTTCTCAAGCCTCCATGACTGATCAAGAAATTGTGCCTCCTGCTGAACTACAGATACAAGTTTAAAAGCAGTTACAATTTTGTTGCATATGTTTTCCAACACTTCAGGCAATTTAAGATGTTTTTCTTTTGCTTTTATTGGCCCTAGCAATATTTACTTTGTTTCTGTTTGGCAGACATGACAACTTTATTTTTGGTTTTTCAAAAACTCAGTTGGACAGCAAACTAGTACATCAATAATTGATCCACAATCAAATCTTTTGATGAATCTTTTTTAATTTTGAGGTGTGGTGGGCTGCATCTGATCTTGGCTGGGTGGTAGGTCATTCCTACATAGTTTATGCCCCTTTGTTGTCCGGATGTACTACTGTTTTATTTGAGGTAAGAGGTGATTTTTTCTGCCCATATGCAATCAACTAAGTTAATTTTATTTCTTGCAATTGTCTCAGACAACTCTTACTTCATTTTATGTGATTTTTTACACTCATATTTACTCATTGTCTTACAATCAATTCAACCATGTTGTTAAAGATATATTATGTTCTAGGATGAGTAGTGGAGTATTAATTAAATATAGTATTACTATATTATCCACTTTAAAGGGAGATTTGTTCAGGGGGTTGGGGTATCCCTCCCTCAAACAATTAGAGGCTATTTCTTGAAATTCCCAGTAATTTTACAAACCCAAAGTCAAATTTTAAATTTTAAATCAAAGGAATGGTGGCATAAAACTAATATCATCTCTATCTTGAATGCTAAGGGTCAGTTTTCAAAGTAGATTTCATGGAGGCATTCACTTTAACAAGACAAGTTAAGATTACTCTTACACCATAGCAGAGACTCTATTAGACAAAAGGCTTGTGATTGGCATTGAAATGTTGAACAATATGGAAAACGTTATGATTTTTTAGGATTTTATCTGAGATGTAGTAACAAATCTACCGATTGTTTCCAGTTACTGACATCGATGTTGATCCAAATTCCTTTCTTTATGAAGCTGACTTCTCAAGAACTGGATGTGTTTCCTTGTATCTCTGATGGTCTCCAACACTTCTCTTTTGACGTATTTCTGTCAAAATGATAATTTGTTATTAAACGTATATTTCTTCGACTGCAAGTCAAGTTACTTTCATTTTTTAATCACCGCACAGGTGCTTTAAGTTTGTTAAAAGAGAGCATCTGAAATTTGTGAATGACCATAGCTTTTGGAAGAAGTAAAAGCGAATTTAAGGAACCGATTATGTAGAACTGAATTGGACGAAAACATTGTCAACCTTTTCTAACAACTATTTTTTCTCACTTCTGACCTAACCACTTTAAATCAGGTTACTTAATGTGACCGCTGTTTTATACCTTCAAGACCGTATTAGCCTTCTTTTCAGCTTTCTTTGATATTTTTGTGTCCTTCTTGTGTTCGTCTTTTGATTCCTTTGGTGATGAGGGAAAACAAAACTCGTCTTTGCTTCGTTTCTTCGTTTGTTCTCGAGGTGCATTCAGTGGTTTAATTGCCCAATACTCTCGACTATACGTCGCTCGCTTCTTGAAATTAAGTACTGGTTCAAGTTTTTTTATCATTCCGAGGCTTATCGATGGACCAATTTTCTGGAAAAAATAAAACGTATCAAAATTACTTTTTTTTAATCTTCGGCGAACTGACAGGTTAATATCGCTACTTTTAAAATGCTAAAAAAATTCACAATGCAAGTAAACTCAAATTTACCTTAAATTTTCCAGATGCCATCGTGAAAGATGTGCAAATGACGAGCTTGTTTTTAAAAAGGATTAATGCTTTTCTATAAATTTTATAACATATCGAAAGCAAATCAGATATTTTCGACTGTCTTATTTCATACGAAGTCACTGACAATGACCTACACACTTTTCCCGCCAAATTTGCGACAACGCTACGACGCTAGCGAAAAAGCATGAGAACTAGCGAGAGAGGGTTGGGGACGGTGTAATGATGTTTTTTAGAGAAGCTATCTTCATATCTAGCTTAGAAAGTTAAAGGATATTCACTTCGGCGAACTTGCTCTCGAGAAACTGAACGTTTCATGTAATCTGAACCGTGGAAAGACCTAAAAAAGCCATGTTTATTTCTAGGGTAAGCCAGTTGGTACTCCAGATGCTGGGGCTTTCTTCAGAGTTATCGAACAACATAAAGTTGTTAGCATGTTTACGGCGCCAACTGCTATAAGAATCATTAGAGCTGAGGTAAGCTTGCGGGGTCATTCACTGTCAAGGCATTGCTCCTCGGTCTTTACTCCTTACTGCATTGAGAGCCGACCGGTGAGGCAAAGTGACTCAGGACCACTCAACTTTCTCCTATGTAATATGCGATATGTATGAAAGAGAGGGAGGAGTTGGAAGGGATGTTACACACATATAGCCTGATTCGAGTAAAGGTTGACGGTGTGAAATGTTTTTTGGAAAAGGGGTTCCATGGCTCCTCCTTAAGGGCAGTTACTGGACCTATCCTAGCAATACCTGATCCGAGCCCCTCTCTGTGGACCGCCAGTGAGCCCTACTGTGGAAAGGGCTTTGCGCTATAGTTCAATAATTGAATTGTCATTAGTGGCATCGATACAATATTCTTCCTAATTTGTTTTGGTTTGTTCCCTACAGGACCCAAACTGTGAATTAATTAAAGAATACGATCTGTCACAGTAAGTGTGAAGTCTTAAACCATCTTTGAAGGAGAGAGAGGGTAGCTAGGAAGTAAACAAAACACTCTGAAGGGTGTCCACTGTTAGGAAGATTGAAATGAGAGAGAGACAGACGACCACTAAGTTAATTGGGATTTTCTGGTTCCTTTGCTAATTCTCGAACAGTTTATAAAAGAGGCTAGTCAAAAGGCAGTTTAACAGGCACGTGACTCTGATGTTCCGCCTTCTACCTTAGAAAGACCATTGAAAACAAGTACACATTCCTCCACTTGTCTTCTCGCCACAAATAGAAATCAAACTGAGGAAGGACGTATGTAGCACTGAAGAGTCAAGCAGACACAGATACGAAACTTAGTTACTCAGTTGACCCACATTGATTAGTTAGAGTTGATAATCTTTACGTACAGCTGAAGGTAGATTACGTGCTCTGTCAATGATAAGTCTTCAGCATTGAAAGTGATTGTACGCAAACCCGTTTAAACGCCCTTTCTTTGGCTCAGTATTGTTTCTTCCAACCTGTCGTACGCCACGATTTGAATGGCATTGTTACATCACGGAGGCATTTTGTAGTTTTTTGATAGTGATTTTTCATTTATTAATGCGAGGAGAACACTAAGGTAGCTAACAGCAAAAAAATGTGTCTGGTTTTCAGTCCTACCCACAAACCATCTATGTAGAGCTTATCAATTTTACTTTATGATAAAGTTCCTTGTATTAATCAGTTTTCGCGGATTATTTGTGGCTGGTGAACACTTGGACAAAGATACCATGCAGTGGGCCAGGAGAGCCATTAGTGCACCTGTTTATGACAACTGGTGGCAGACTGGTAGGTCTTTTTTGGATACGGGAAAAAAAAACTTAGATCGTTCAGCTGATTTTATGATGTAGTCACTTCGCAAGCGGGTAGCAAAGTTTCAACGTATTTTGCCAATCTTTTCCACACAATAAAGTCGAATGGTTGCGCCTTGTTATATGAAGTTTTATGTTATATAACTGGTCCTCCCCGTCGTGGGGTTAAGATTTGCAGTATGCAGTCGAAGTGGTGCAAATGTACATGGGAAGTGACTTCATCTGAAGACAAATTCGAGTATCGACGGGATGGCTTTTCACTGAGATATCGAAAAATTATTTAGAGGTATAAATAAGCAATGTCAGTATTAGGCTCACATTCATAGATAATAAGCAATGCTGAATGTGTTCTCTGTGGCGAGAAAGAGCAATGGGTAAACTGAAGTTCGATCATCCAATAATAAAAAATGTTGAACATTATCAAAAGCCCGAGACAATGGGAAAGACCTGGGTCATAAGGAACTGATGATTCCCGTATGTAACGGCTTATTACAGAAACTGGGTGGGCCATCACGGCACACGCTGTAGGCCTGGGACGACCGATGGATGAGCATTTACAGACAACTGGAAAACCAGTTCCAGGATACAATGGTATGTGAACGACACTTTATACATATTGTTGTCGTTTTTTTTTTAATCTTAAGAGATGCTTTTCGTTAGCATTTCTTATAAGGCAGGTCACCGTTGCTGCAATCGACTTCGATCAGGGTGACAAGAGAGGACACAGTTGCCCACAGGCTGGCTCGTCAGATTTCATCTTCAGAGGTCTGGGTTCAAATCGCGGTTGAGGCTTTATTTATTGCTCTAGCACAAGTCTTTTAACTGTTACAGTTCCTCCCATCTCCATGGGATACTCTATGGAATGCAGGGTGGGGGGGTATTCCGCGAATACTATCCAGGGGGTAGTGGCAATCCTACTCGTCGATTCCTTCTTCAAAAACCAGGATAAACCTTAGAAAGATAGGCTGATCATACGCGGACGTTACCTTTTTTAAGGCGAAAGGTTATGAAGCATTCAGTAAAATAATGATGAAAACGAACAACGTTTTTAAATTTGCTTCTCACCTGGGACAACCGAGTGTACGGTTTGTTTTCAGTGAAAATACTCAAGGATGGCTTAACCGAAGCTGACCGTGGAGATCTGGGTCAAGTCGTTGTCAAGTAAGGCTTAGATAAATTACCTATCTTTTGTACAAGGTTTTGAGTTTGTCTTTTTATATGTGGCTCCTCATTTGACACATAGTAACTGTAAGAATGATGGACACAAAATGAGCTTTAAAATGTGCGATTCCTATTTTAGGCTTCCGCTTCCTCCAGGAACAATGGCGACCCTTTGGAAGGCTGACGACAGATTCGTCAAAACATATTTCACTAAATACCCGGTATGTTACCGCTGTACACCGTCGTAAGATAACAACTTGTCATTGGCCGGTGTGTTAACACGTCATCTCTTGCTTCTATTGTGGTCTACATTCTGTTAGGGATATTACGACTCAAGTGACGACGGTGTTATGGATGATGGTGGATTTGTGTCAATCATGGCACGCACCGATGACGTCATCAATGTAGCAGGTCACAGGATCTCCACTAAATCTTTAGAGGAGGTGAAGTATTTTATTGCTCTTATACTCGGGTCGGCTTGGTTCAAATGAAACAACATTCTCGCGATTGCAACAGATCTAAGTGTTTATCTACAAGATTTGGTACGTTCGTTGTCCATTAATGCATCCTCTGAAACGTACCGACGTAATCGCAATAATTTTCTTTGTTCTCAGGGAATGATTCGTCTCGATTTTGTGATCGATGCCGCATGCGTGGGACTTGAGGACCCGATCAAGGGTCATTTGCCAGTTGGATTTATAGTCATCGATAAAAGTACGCGAATGAGTTTGTTAAGAAATTGAATAGGAGATGTTTATTCTTTTCAGTTTAACTGTTATGAACGTTTGTGAATCACCCAATTCAATGCCTTGAATCTGATACCGAATTAAAAAAAAATCGCGTGCTAGAATATGGACAAGGTAACATCTTAAGAGTAGTTACTGATTTAGGAAAGACCAGTTTGTTTGACTATGTTCTTCAGCGTTTCTTGCAAGGTCTTCAGGGATAAAATTCAGACGAATTTTAAATAATATAGAAGGGAATCATATATCAAGTACATCTAGGCTTTGGGCGTACGAGCGTAAAACTTACCCTGTAACGGTCCCCGTCCTTTGATTTGAACTGAAGTTGATTTCTGTATTTCTTGCCAAAGCGAGTGGTGTTTCCCGAGAGGATGCAGTCCAACAAGTTATTCAGAGTGTTCGTGAGTTTGTTGGTCCTGTGGCGGCATTTAAAACTGCCATCGTAGTACCAACACTTCCCAAGGTAAGTTAGAATAATTACATGAACGGCTAAGAATATATGAAAGTCATATATTTGAACTGCGGATAAAGACGTGAATGAAAGTGATCCTCGTAGTAATGTGCACTACTTGAGCAGTAGTGAAGGTGATAATTCATATCGATCACCCCCACCTCCAATTCATTGGAAAATGGTACCTACAACAATACTGTCATTGCGTGTAAAATCGTCACGAATCAGTGATCAATCATATTTCTATTCCGGCTTGAGAGGATGTGAAAAAAACAGTTAAAAAAATTCGAAGCCAAATTGACTCTCTCAGTGCCAGTCAATCGTTGTAAACGTTCTCCTCTCGGCTTCATTAACCCAGCCGTTCGTCTGTGTAAAACTACTGTGGTTAGACAAAGAAGACTTTTCTTCCTTTCCTTTTCCATCAGACTCGCTCAGGAAAAACTGTGAGAGGTGTTCTGTCCAAGATCCTTCACGGAAAACCATATAAAGTAAGTTAATGTCGTTGTTTTTTAGGAAATTTTATTTTCTTGGTTTTTCCTCGCAATGCAAAAATCCTCATTTGTGATTTCTAGTTCGCAGAGTGGTTCGTGACATCGAAAAACTGTCGTTACAACGAGCTTACGAATCAACCTTACAACTTTTTTTATCATACTTGCCTATACATGATATTGTTTTTGTTTGTATTTGGTTTAAATTCAGTTGTTTTCCTCTTAACTTCTATAGATTACGCCAACAATGGAAAACCCACACGTGTTGGAGGATATTGAAACAATTGTACGGGAAGAAGGAATCATTGAAAGGACACAAAAGTAACGAAACGCCGTGTTATTACTGAATGCGGGAAACACTTAAGAAACACTTAGGAAATGATTTTAGATCGGAAGATTGTTGATTGAAAATATTTAAATGAAACCAGATAGAAGTATATACGTTCATAAACCTGAAGCGCGACTCTTGCAAAGATATCGAGGGGAGCCACTGTAGCCATAGTTGCGGATGAGGACTGCAGCGACTTAAATAGCCTTATCAGCCAAAGTGTGCGGAAATCCATGTTTCGGCCAACTTAGTTTTTTTTTCCGCTCTCCATCGCCGTCCAATTATTCCCATGGGAACTAATTACATAAAGGGCAGCGCTGTTGGATGGAAGTCCTTATTGGTTATTTTAAACGTCTCTTAGTTGCAGCATGGCCTCAGGGGCTGATATGTGGCTCTCCTCATATGTTGTCACTAGTCTCTGTAAGCGAAGTTGGTAACCATCACAAATGGCAACCTTTCTGTGAGTATCAACACAGATGCAGCTGTATAGGGAAGTAATAAAGTATCGTGGGCCAAAATGGTAGAAATACCTTGCACTGATAACCATTGGGCGTCATTTTTGTTTCTGGAATGTCATGAAAACTCATTTTACCTGTTCCTTAGAGAGTGCTTTTCTCGTCCATGCCCCTCACCATTTCGTCTCCGCGCGTATAACCACCTTAGTTCCTTAACTCTTTTTAGACTTCTTTTTGTGTTGTAACTTAAATCGTGAAAGACCTCTTTGCGTTGTACGAAAATCCGTGTCGCGCTAAACCGTTCCATATTGTGGTAAGCAAGACAGTAAACCACCTTGCCTCACGATAAACCATATGCAGCCGGTTGTCTTAAATGAATAAATCTAAATGATTGACAATAGTTGAAAGTAAACATTTTGACAACTGGAATAGTAGTTCATGACCTTGTGTCTTGTAACGTACCGCAATTATTCGATTTAGCGCCCAGGGTCGCGCTTCTTCGAAACAGGGCGCTTATTTCTCTTTTCAGAAACAGCAGAATGTGCGAGACAAAGCGTTGATATTCCTTCAAAAAGGATCAAGGAGACTGGAAAAAGGACTTGTCCTTGGATTCTTCCTTTTTGGAACGAACAGCCGGGCAATCATCACAAAATTTTATGAGGAGGTCATTTAGTTGCGAGACCGAGACGAATTCCAACGTTTATCTAATGAGGCTTTAGTAAGCAGTTAACGGAAGGTGAACCGCGGTTGATCTCAATGTACATGTATTCTAACAGCGCTATCACGGAAAAAGAATAGTGCACTTATTTCGAAACAAAAAGACAAATTCGAGGGGGGTGGGGTGGGGGTCATTATCAGAGAGAGAACAAAGGCGCTAAATCGAATCATTTTGGAGAGTAACGTTTTTGCAATGGAACAATTCGGGTATTCCTTTCGAGTTCAAAACGTTCATTCTTCCTTCCTGTTTTGTTTATAAATAATGACTGTTGTGTACCGTAAGCCATTTAAATCTCAAACGCGTTTCTTGAAATCTTAGCGACATCAAGACACCTGAAAAAAGGGGAAGAAAAAAAAAAGTCGTTTGTTACAGGGACCTCCTGATTGACTTACTTACAATCGTTAGCGATCGTATCATCTGTTCTGAGACACTTTCCTCAAGGAAACATAGGTAGGAATATATATTATTAATATTCACAAATAAGATATCTTTTGGTTTTTTTAACCATATTCTCAAGTTTTTGATAAAAATTAAAATTTATGTCTGGGTAAGAGCAACCTTATGAGGCTGAAGTTTCATCACACAGAATTCAAATTAGTAAAACTAAATAAGACAGAGTTGAATTATTCGTTTTTGAACCAGATTAGCACTAAGTTCAAAATTATAGGAAAACACCTTTGAAAGCTAATACTATTGTAAGAGTACATTTTGTTCACAAGAAAAATTATGATCATTTCCACACACTCCAGAGTACATTCTTATAATAACTGAAGTAAAAAGATAAAAAAACTTGATATAATAAATGTAATTTTGCTTTACCCGTCCTGTATTGCAGTTAGAAAATTACATTACATTATTTGGGTACAAAAGAGTATTGACAACACAGAAACGATTGAAAAATTCTATATACTAATTTTTCTTTGTTTTAACCTATTTTTGATTGTTTTCAGTTGCATTTAGCTGGGAAAACATGTTAGTGAGTTTTTATTTTTCTCCAAGACAAACTTTTACCTTGTTTTAGTTTTACTATGGCACGTAAAGATTATTAACAAGAGTTATAACATAGCTAGTAAATTTGTCTAATCAAATTCAATTGCGCGAGCGTGCTTTATATTCCTATTGTGCGCGCTCATGATGTCAGCAAACAAATCCCTTGTGAAAAAAATTTTCCATTAGGTTGAAAATGTTATAAAACAATTGGTTCATACATCAGCTGTGCGTTCATCAAGATATGAAGCACTTGGGAAGTTTGGAGAGCACTCAGGAGGCTAGAGTTGCTCTCGGCTATGCCTTGAGCAACTCTTACGCATCTTTCATACTCTCCAAACTTCCCGCGTGCTTCATATCTCAATGAACGCACGCTGACATATGAACCAATTGTTAATTCAAATTGAGTCTAGCTAAAATGATCCTGTAAGTAATATTATGTTACTGAAAAGTATTACAGTATGATTTATAATGATAGTAATAATGATCAGAAAAAAACTTAAACACTGAAAAAAGGAAGCAATAACTGAGTGTTAGAACACAAAAAACAAATTACAGTCTGCTGTATCACTGACTTTTAAAGCTGTAATGTTATTCATCTTTCTAACTATTGCAATCTAAATGGTTAGTTTTGTCAGGGGAAAATTAGCCTCTATTAGAATTTAACAATTTAATAAATTTGTTATTTCATACAAGATAAAGCTAAACCTCAAAGTCTTGCAAAATCAGCATCATACTCATCAGCTTTCTTTCCCTGATTTTTGCAAGTCAAACCAAGCCCCAAAGATTTACGACAGCTCTGTGGTGTACTACAAACCCTACTGTTTCCAAACCTCTCAGGGGACAATAAAAATCCATAATCCACTGTCCCTTCCTGGAATGGTGAGAAGAATCCACTGTCTGAAGAAAATTGCAAGGATGTAAAGCCTGTGTGACCACTGTTGTTATAACCAAGAGGTGAAACTAGCAAGGAGGTCAGGAAGCTCTGGTTTTCAAGGTTTTTCGTAGGTGTGATCAGCGGTTTTAAAGGTGATATACAATTGAATTCACTGTTATTGTGTTTGCTAAAGATGTGTCCTGGTGATGACATTTCATTAGCTTGTGAATTGATGGCAGCCAAGGTGAGCTGGGGGCAGGGCCGAAGTGGTGAGCGCTTGGGTTGTTTTAAATCTTGCTTTCTTTGCACACATGAAGATGTTTGATTCTTACTGTAAGGTTTGCTTTTACGTTTGTCTGTTTTAGTCTTCTTGATGTGTAGGGCTAAAATTTCATTTTTCTCAGTTTTAATATCAACTATATTAGGGCTCTCACAGGTCTCCCTACTGATGATTGGTGCACTATTTATAAACCTTTCAGAAGAATTTTCATTTTCCCTCTTTTCAATCTTACATAGGGCTTGTTCCACTGTCATAGTTGCAGAATTGTTTTCACAGTTTTCTTGTGATATCTGAGTCACTGATGTTGAACATCCTGATCCTATCTCCTCCTCTGTAATGGCTATTTCTGAGAGGATTGTTTCACTATCTTGTCCAAGTTCTTCAGATTCAGGAACTAGCTGGGCAAACCCAGGGTTTACAGTACTTTGAGTTTCTGTTGTCATGGGCACGAGAGTAGGACTTACTCCAACTGCTGTGGTACTTCCTGTAGCAGCTTGAGAAGCAATTTTGCTAAACATATTCATGTAAAGCTGGGTTGGTAAAATCACAACTGGAATACTACCAGGTAATCCATTAACACTTCCATCTGTTAAAATTTGAACACCACCCTTGTTCAATAAAGTGCTAGCAACGAGTTGATCCTCTGATGGTTTGGGCAGTATTGGTCGCAGTCCCCTTGTGTTTGATTGCTCTAAGGTCATATCTTGGTTGATAAGTGGCTGCTGATGCTTCATGACTTCTTTCATGATGTTCTCTTTCCCTTCTGGTGATATGGACCAGTAACTTCCTTTTCCAGGAAGATTAGATGGCCTTTGGGCCTTGAGGAAATAGCTGTGAAGTGATAAGTTATGACGGATGGAATTCTGCAAGAACAAAATTTCACAGGGATTATGAACATGTATCAGTTTTACTGGGAATTGTCCATCAAAACTAGCACATGGTGGGAACCCTTCTAGGGCAGAACAGATGGCTATTGCATGGAGATTTCAGTAGTCAAATGCTCCTGTTTGTTGTGTTGTTGCAAGACTGGGATTGAATATTCTTATGGAGAATTAGAAAGCATCAAAAGCACTGTTGTACTTGATTGTCCTGCCAAGTATACACGTTAAACAAAGGCTTACAAACATTATCATCCATTCACGATAAGCAATAAATTTGCATCAATTTATCAAACAACAGAACAGTTATTACCTTCCATGCTTTTTTGCAGTTTTTGTAATAAGGGAAATTGTCCTCTATCCATTTGTATATGTCCTGCAGTGTCATGCGCTTTTCTGAGGTACTGTTAATAGCCAGTAATATGAGGGTAGCGTAAGAGAATGGAGGCTTTGGGTAAGGATTCATACATGTTGGCTCCCCAGTGCCGTTCTTCTGTTCTGTTTCCAACAGTGGATTGGATTCCAGTTTACAAAGCCACTGTATGTTTGTCAGGCTGTCATCAAGAGAAGAGGTGGTATCTGTAAAATCAAATAGATCATTTCAATCAAAATGCAATTTTCACTGGTTTAAAAAGCTAAATTAAAGATTGATTTTTAATTTGTTCTTGGCCGATGCCACCTAAGATCGTATGTTAACGTATTATTCTGTCCGGATAAAAGTATTCTTTTTTCTGTAATAAACTGACTTACTAATGCACAACAAGAGTAAAGAGCCTTTGTTTGTTACATTGAAAGAGTTATTCGAGAAATACTAACAATGAATAGTAACGTGATATTCATTAAACAGAAATTCGAATAACAAAGTCCGAGTAGAGTATTTGAATTACATGCATTCACTATTAGACAACACAGTAAAAAACCTCATAAAGAAGGTAAAATACAAGAGATCTCGAGCCATTTCTCATGCAAAAAGTCAGGGGAGCAGAAATGTTCATGCATTGGGTAACGGTGTAAACGGGCTACTTAACAAAACAGAGAGCAATTTGAGTTTCAGAAGAAAAAAACGCTAAATAGGAGCAAATGTTGCCGTTATCCAAAAATATAGAAATAATTACAATGCTTTCTAATGCCAAGCTCTAACTTTGCAATCGGACTAGCTTGTCGATATCGCCATGCATGCTACTGTAAATAAATAGTGAAGATTTCGTGTGAAAGTACATTCTGCGATCGGAGTAAGTTTCAGACAAAATAGTGGAAATATAATAATTTGGGATAAGAAATAGGTAACTTACGTTCTCTTGAAGACATTATTCAACCGTAGATCTCAGTGCATCTGCCGCAGATCGCAAGAGAACCACTGATTTTCAAAAGGGGGTTCGAACCAACGTGCTCTTGATCGTGAATGCTGAACAGTTTGAAAAACTTGTTTTCCGTTGATCTCCAGCCAATCACAGTTGGGTATACCAGCCTCTTTCACATGCAGCATGATACTATCCCAGCATTCCGTGCGGTAAGTGAAAACAGAAAACAAATGTCGAACAGAGCGTGATGTTGTGTTCTATGTTTCTTGTGTGATAAGTCTTGGAATTATCATCTTTGAAGATCCTTTAAGGTTTTGTCGATGTCACAAGAAAAGAAAGCTATTTTATTATTTATCCTCCCTGTAGTATGCATCCTTTCACACGAATTTGCAGGTAAGAGATCTGCGTGATTTTGTACTTGTGGAGTTTCGACGCGCAAACTTTAATTTATTAAGAAAATATTCCCTGTCAAGCCTAACCACTATGCCACACTACCTTGTTTCACTTTTATGGTCAGATTTTTATTCATGAAGTACCTAATTTGGGCTTGTATACAGAACGTTTTGTCTTCTCACCGAAAATTACGTACAGAATGTCGTCGAGATTGAAACTTAAGAAAATGATGACATAAGAAGATAACATAAGATAACATAATTTCAATTTACTATAGCAGACAGCTTTATCTGCATTTGTATAAAAAGGGGTAGGATCAACGGATCTGATGTAACAAACAATAGGCATTTGTGGAGTCTTAATTATTTGTTCACCGAATCAAACAGCTTTCTATTCGGTTTGTTTCTATTTATGGAATTGCATGTGTGGTTGTCATCTGATGTGTGTGCTTGTCATCTGATTTAATAAACTGTTTCATTATGATTCTAGTCAGAACTTCGTTTAATTCTGTGTTCTTTTGAGCAGTTTCCCATAAGTTTACAATGTTATAGCTGCAAAATGTAAATCTTATTTAGAGGAATGTGTGACAAACCAAATGTCACTAAAATAACTTCAAATAGGTTAAATGTTGCAGGGATCCTTAAGGGGTCGCACATCTTGAATAATGCCTGAGACTTTGGCATTGCAATTTGGAGCACTTAGGTCAATCAGTTTGCAACCCATGGCTTCCAACATACCTGACTCACCAGCAGTGGAAGAAACTCAAGAACCTCCAGAAGCAATTGTGGGTTGTGTTGAGTTTTTTTTATGAAGAGGGGAAAGACAAGGAGAATTTAATGTGGTTTTTGGTTTTGATATTTTTTTGCAGTTTTGCGGTTTTAGATGATTTTCCTACAGTTTTGTGGTTTCTAATAGACCCCAATATTCCCCCCCTTTGTCGACTCTGGAGATTTAATCACATTGTCTTTTAGTCAGTGTTCTGATTACATGATGTATACAAGATTGTATGCAAATACTTTTACAGGTCATGCTTTATTAACAATTCACAGTTTACATAGAAAAGAGAAACTAAGAATCATGACTTTTGTTAGTCCCTGCAGGCAATACTGCGTTTCATCTTCAACCAAACAGAGGAAAAAGATTGCGACTTAGACCACATGTAACATGGGACATGGAACTCCAACATAATAAAGTTGAGAGATCCTGGAGATATGCAATTATCCAAGTACATGCGCAGCAAAACAACGTGACATTGTCTCTCAATCCTATTTTTAAATACGATGAAACAGATACAGGACAAGGTGTTGCAGTTCTGTGTCCAATAAAAAGGTTATTTACAGATTATCACTTTTATTTGAAGTCAGAGAGTAATGATGACTCCTTTAATGTTGACATCATCTCAGTTCCATATGTCTATGGAGGTGAGTTGTTTTTATGTAGTGCTGTTTAGATTGCAGGGATAACGTTGTAGTAAAGCTTTATTTTATTGTATTAATTTTACCATGAAACAACACAGCAACTGGATAACTAAATCAGGAATGTATCCCAGTACAGAAGCGAACCCCCTAATTAGGGTTTTGTTAACCCATTCACTCCAATAAGTAATCAAGCATGAATTTATCCTCACAATTTACTTACATTTTCAAGTAGGAAGGTGATGTGAAGTGAAAAAAAATGAACATGAACTGGGGGATATTGTTTGAATTATCACCAAATTTTTAGGTCTAAAAATATAGGTGATGAATGACAAATAGTTTGGAGAATCACTCTGGTATTCAGATCTTGAAGGTGAAAGGTATAGAAAATGTGGTTGCAGGAGGATAGCAATATCCTATACATCAAAACAAATGAATGAAAAACACTGGAAAAAATAATTAAACAGATTTAGGTTATTGACAGCTTGCCAAGTTATCCCCTCTCATTCCTTTGAAGGTAGATCTTTTTAAACGGCAGTATGATTTCTTTAACTGTACTATGTATTCAAAATTCCATTCATGGTACTTTTTTTTTAACTGTAACATTAACTGTTACAACTACAGACCTCTCCAGTCCCCCTCCTCTTAAAACCATTAAAAATAAGCTGTAGTCTAAGACGATATGAGGGCTTCACTATCAAGTCACAAATTCAAGATGTCAGCTTGGCAGTGGAAAAAGATGTTTCTTATAGCTACAAGTAGTTTGTGATGCTCTCTCTTTAATGAGAAAAAACATTGAAACAAATGGAATCTATTTTATCAATAGCATCATGATGAAATTTCAGCTAAGGTATCTTTTTCTGGAGCCTTGTTTCCATTTAAGTAGAGAATCTGTCCACTTTATTTACATTTTAAGAAGTATACCATAATTTTGTTTTTATTGTTGATATTAACAAAAGATCTTTTGCTATATGTATGTCTTATCTTAATTCCAGCTCCATTCCCTGGTGGTTGCTGCCTCACTTGTAACATGGAATTTGATCCAAATCTGGTCATATCCTATGATAGAGTGGAAACTAATGTAACCTTTGCATATGCTAATGTGTACTATAAAAGGTAGGTTAGATTACTTATAAGAGCATACATTTGGCAATACATGGTGTAGAAACCTGACATGGCTTTTTATTTGTATACCCTCAAGTAATATTTTTGGTGGGTTTAGGAAGAATCACTGGTTACTTTCAACTGATAACAAGATATCAAATCTGTAATGGAACAAAGGGATTTTTTTTCTTTTCATCTTTGGTCAGTCACATTATTTCACTACCCTGCAACTTTGTATAATATATGTGACTAACATTGTGACTAATACCTCTTAAGTTTGAGTCAGATCAATACACACTCTGAATTGATGAATTATTTCTTTCTTTTTTCCCTGTGTTTCTTTTTCCACAGGTCTGAGAATTCTAGTTCTGTACCATGTGATGGGAATAAAATTCATCCAGAGAAGTCACCAGAACATTATCGTCTGGAGTATGATATCTATCTTATGTTTCTTGAAGAAGGGGATACATCAGAGGACACTTTCTTTAAGGGATTGCAAAAAATGGCTTATCCAGCTGTTATCAAAACCAATGGAAAAAAGGTCAGATTCTTTTATTTATAATTTATGTAAAATATATTGACTTCAAAGTTTCCAGCTGGCTCATTGCAAACTAGATGAAATTGGTACAATGTTCATTTACCAATGTTTGCCGCCTTTACTTTTCTGCACAGAATTTGAGTTTGAATTGTATGACTGTGTAGTATCACCTTTTTGCAGCTTGAATAGTATTGTTTATCAGCAAGTTGCATACATCTAGAAGTCTTTCAAATAAAGGTGACTGTAACAAAACTGTTTTACAAAAGGATTTGGTATTCTTGACCTCTGGTGATTAACCAATTATATTCAAACTCCTCATTTGAAAGCTGATTTTCATCAGAACTACGCCATGCACTCACCTCATAATTCCAGCCATACTGTTAGCTCTAAACCAATGAGAAGTGTAGTCATTTCCTTATTTACAACTTCTTCAAAGGAGCAAAAGCATCACTAGGACCAAATGTTTAAGGCCAAAGAAGCAATTAGTAAAAACATCGGGCATGAAATATTGTTGTTACCTCCCTTGCAGATGGCCTCTCTGAAAGCACCAACACTTCCTGTGGCAAAATTTGATACTCACCAAGTTGGCCAAGGTGTTGTGTACAATGTTATAGTGTATGATCCAGTTACCAACATGGAGGCTGCATACTCACCAGCAGTAATCTACGCTCCTAATTATCTCAGGCGTAAGTCACAACTAAAGGAGAATCATGCTACAGGAACTAATAATACTTAACCCTTTAACTCCCAAGATCTGATTGTAAATTCTCCCCTTTGGCTGCTACACATTTTCTTGTAAATTAGTTATGAGAACTTGGTGCTAGATCAAGATAGCAGCTTCTACCTGATAAGTTTGAATATTCTCATTACCTGTTTGCTGAAGAATGTATGGATATTGTAGGGAGAAGTTTTACGTTAATCACCTCTGGGAGTTGAAGGGTTAATATCTCCACTATGAAAAGTACACTTTTGAGATTGGAAAGAGTACTCCAACCATTTAAAATTTATCTTCAAATGAGCTCAAGACTTGTGTATGGACACCATTATTTTCAAAACAAAAAATAGTGCTGTAGCTGTATATGTAAGGCTGTTTTGGGTGGTTACTCTGGACTCTCAAATCTTAGTCAGTGTCACTATTTCATACATATTTTTCTAAATGTGAGATTCAAGTTATATGGTTTCTGAAGCATGTACTTCTCGTTTAGTGCACATTTACAATGCATTGGTTTCAGTCCTTAGTCACATCATGTTTTGACATTAAAATTTGGAAATCTTTTGTTACGGGTAGCTTTCAATACATTTGCTCAACATCAGGTCTTCACAGGTTCTTACCCTCAACACTGGAACCGGCAGAGGTTCAAATCTTTACAAGGAACTTAGATTTTCTTTGTGATTATGATTTGTCTTCATAAAATCGTTACTGATGTCTTTTTATTCCTAAAATATCAGAGTTAAATACATAAAACTACATTTATGTTAAAAAAGGGTGAAAAGTAGTGTGTTGACTGTTTGTTTTACAGTTGGTGTTGTTGATGCTGTATTTGCTGTCACAGGAAGTTTGATTGGGTTAATCTTTTGTTTCTTTGGGTTTCGGCTCTTCAAATTCAGTGAGTAACAATAATGTTTCTTGTGTATCAAATAACT